GACCCCAGAAAGGGAGGTGTGGTATAGGAACGAGTACTGAATGGAGAGGGGAGGAGGTTATGGCAATCACATCAGCTGCCTTTTTTCCAAAAGAGAGAGTTGTTAAACTGAGTGTATATCTATGTAGCTACATGAATAGCAAGTGATTACTCTCATGTTGCATTACTTTTTCTCAGAAGTACTGCAACAGACCTGATGAAATATGTACAACCTCTGTAAATCAATAGTGGGAAGGAAGTGAGAAGACTAAGCAAGTGTACAACAAATTCAGAGTCTTCTTTCTTTAAACCAAATGCTTATTTAGGCTAGGAACTCATCACTAAAGCGTGTTATCAAGCCAAAACATTTAATGGGAATTAATTAAAAATAAGCACTTAGCCTAGTTGGGATAAATATCAATGATGATTATAAAGTCACTTAAGGGCACATGTAAAAAAAAAAAAATCTCTGTGTGATTGGTTAAAAAAATCTTTGCCTATGTGCTTAATAATTCACTATGAGATTTTTGACTTTGTCTGAAATTACTATTTTTGGTGGAAATAGTAAGGCCTGATTCAATATGCGTTTTCTATGTATGTTAAATAGGCTGTTAGCGTGTGATCAGTACTTTTGAAGACAATAGGCTTAAAAACAACCCAGTGAAAGTTGATTATCAATATCTGGTCTCATATTTCCCAATCTGTAATTCAGTATACGTTTAAGGTGGTAGTGCCTTGGAAAAGAAACAATGCTTTGCTGCTGGTAGCTGCTTGGTCCTGACCCTGCTCTGTGCCTGCCTTTGTGCAGGTACACAGGTTCATATAGCTGGACAGTGAAGTACACTGTGAAAAGTGACCTGGCTCATTGCTAAGCTTCACCTGCCCCGAGCCCCGTTACATTTTTCAGCAAGATCAGCTCTCCAAGCCATTTTGCTGCACGCTTGCTACACAAACACCAGTGCAAGAGAGAGAGGCGTGTGAGGGTGGGAACGAGTGGACAAGCAAAGAGATGACAGGTTTTGATTCTAGTGTAGTGCCAGGCTAAATCTATGCTAAACTTCAGCCTGAGAGACTGACAGTGTTGAGTTATCCTAAACCCTTTTTACCAAACCTGGACAGCATATTCAAAGTTTTAGTTTAATTCCTTTTCAGTAAGATTGTACTCCCTCAGAGGAATAAATCCTGAGCGTTTAAAAAATCTCATTTTATGCCTTCCACTCTTCTAAAGTGTATTCTGTTGTTTGTGAGAGTATTCGTTGTAGCTATGTACTAGTTGATGCTTTTTTAAGTTTACGCCCCTTAAGTTTTAACTGACTCATGTGGTAGTAACTCATTTCCATAAGCTTAGAGAAAGACCTGTACTGCTTGTACTAGGGGGGTGGGAAGAGTAAGAACTTGGTTTTAAAGGCTTTTGTGAATCTTTAACGTTTCTTACTCAGGGTGTGCTTATACTGATACCTGCAAAACAAAACAAAAATATACACAAAATACTATAAAAGTAAACAAAATAGTAAGTAAGAGGTACTGTTACCTGGTGATAGGAAAATGATACTTTTCCTGTCATCAGAGGTAGCTTAAGTAGCTCAGTCCAACATTTAATTGAGTCAATAGAAAGATTTCCATTGACTGGAGTAGGTGATGGATCAGGCTTAAAGAGAGATAAGAATATCTTCAACAAAAACAATTTTCTTTAGGGATCTGTGTGTGCTGAAAAACTTATTTTTAATTCTGCTGATGAAGACTAGGTCTGACTTCATGTTTGTCTTGCAGAATAGCATAATGTAATAATAGCAGAATATAGTTGTGGCTGCATTACTCCTGGATGCTGTTTATAGCTGATTGGAAGTATGTGCTGTATGCACAGTTGAAAGATCATACATTCCCAGTATTACCTACCTTCATTACATCTCAGGGGACTGCGTAAATCCAGTCTACTTAAATTTGAAGCTAGCATCCTTCAAAAAAAGTACTCATCGTGTTACTTTTTGCCTTCCCCAGAGTTTTAGTCAATGCTGTCACTCCTGGCCTATTACTTTAGCTGCTTTCGTTCCATGTATGTTTAATACAGTGTCAGATTCAAGGTGCTTAACATTTCAAGCCAGCATTCCTTAAAAATGACATTAAACTCTCGATTAGCGTCACAGTCGTCAACTTAGTTTCTCAGCACAATAGAGCAAGCAATAGAAAGGTTGGACTGAGTCTGTGGAATTAATTCCTGTGAGAGCAACTCATCATATCTGCTGTCCCACACAGAATGAAAAAGACAGGATAAAAGAGCTGCACGTGACCTCATGGTCACATTTCTTAGTTCACTACCAAAAGTATTTTTGACACTGCAGTAGTAGATGCAGTCTGAGATTTTGTCTAGAATATCCTATTGTAGCCCCTAATTTGTGTTGAATTGCTCATGCTGAATGGCAATCGTTTGTCTGAGAAACGTGATAAAAAGCACATTACGGTAAAAGTTGTTCCTCCTACCCTTGAGGAACACTTCTTCATTAAAATCTATTGAAGATGTTGATCTGAAGTCAGAGGTTTGTTTAGTCAAGAAATATTAAGAGGTTGGGCAAAAAAGTCATTTAAGATTTTGAGAGTCAGGAGCAGTTACATTGTTAACATAGCACATCTTGGAGCAGCAGAAGTACTGAGTGCTGCTTTCCACAGCTTTGCATCTTCTTTCCTTGCATCATCCTGACTCCCTCCCTTTTGTGATAGTAGCACTACCTTTCTGACGTGTTCACTGTCTGCTTATTCCCTACAGTATTTCTAGACGCGACCTGCATTGCTCTGCCACTTCTGTTAGACTTCTAGCTCTCTAACATGCCCTGCAATACTCTCCTCTTTCTTTTCTATTCTCCAGGTGCTAGCTTACCAAGAAGTAGCATGTATCGTGCCTGATTTTTGAACTGTGTTTTGTGCTGACTGGCCTGGCAAATAGCATGTTATCCAGCCAGCAGGCCAAAGAGGGCAGATAACTTCAGTGTTCAATGGGGACATTAGGTTGTGTCTTTCTCCTTGACTCAGCTATAGATTTTCGTGATACTAACAGAACTTTAACATCACTGAGACTTCTGTTCCTCTGTCTTACTTGTTTGAAATTGGTAAGTTGGTTCCAAAGTTGTGTCAGAAAGAAGGGAAGAGACTGACAGATGGTCAGGCAGACTGTGTCTTTTTAATTTTTGGAAGCCTAGTTGAAAGTGGTTGCATTACGGTTAAAGTTAAATGAATGAAGCTTTTTAAGTTGATGATGCCTTTCATGGTCAGATGTTACTCCGAAGGGGGAAGATATAAGTATATCTGTAAGCCTTCACAGGGACTGTTCAGGTAATTCAAAGCAAAATTTGTTACATGAGATGTTTGGGGATCAGAAAAGAACAGAGGACCAAAGAGGGAAAATTGTGAGGTTGTTGGCACATAGGTAGAGAAACATTAAATTCATTAATATAGTATTCTAGTATAGCTATGGTGTTAGATGAGAGATTTGGAGGGCTGCACGATATCAAAGTATACTCTGAGGCCAAGAAAAATGGGATGAAGGATGGGGGCAGATCTGTATCCATTACAAAATAATGTCCTTAGCCCTATAAAGATGAAATGAGATTAATTGTGTTCAAATCAGTACAGGATAGTACTGTAGGTAATATGAACATTTGCACTGTACTAAAAATGTGTACTTTTTCTTCATTTTCCCAGTCTCTTCATACTAACCCAAGTGCAGACTGTTGCAGAAAAAAGCAGTTTTCCTTTTCCCCAGGCTTATTCCAGCTCCTCCTCCTCTGCCTACAGTGTTCTTCATAAAAAATAGTTTGCTGCTTTTTTCGACAAATTTGTTTTCATCTGGATCAGGGAACAGATGCAGCTGACTGCTTGGCTCTAAGTACATTAATATCAGCAAAAGACGGAAAGCAGGAATCCATAGTGTGGGTTAGGAAGTGGAGGGACATGACCCTGTTTACAGAAGTAAATGTGTGACTTCAGCTAGAAGTGAGGAGTTTGGCAGCAGTAGTTTGTTTCAAAAGCAGGAAAAAAATTATTTTCTGTAACTCAAAGTGAATGAACAGTAACATATGTATTACAGGAGAGATTTAAATCACCCATCATGAAAATGATTCAAATCAGTGATCAGAAAACTTTGATTGGATTACAGTTGTCTTTTTTCTTAAAGGTTTTTTTTTTTCTTCACTGATTGGTAACCATTAAAATGTGCTGATTATTGTCTTACGCATAATTTAGCTTTGTTTTGGGGGGAGGGGTTTGCTAACAAAGAGGACACACTGTACCTAAATGCATCTGAGACATTTCAGAGTTTGACATACCATTTACATGGATTCCTAATTTTTACATAGGTTTAAGATAATTATTATGCTTTTACTTGTGATTCATATGAAGTTCCTCATGGATGAATATGGGAATTGAAAGAAATTCACAAAAACAACTCTTCACAGTTGCTTTTAGTTTAAAAAAAAGAAGTTACTATAAATGTATTTGAAACTTCTTCTTAAAAAGATTGTTTTGCATTGAAAATCATTTTCTTAAAAAATGGAAATATATAGTTGTAATAAGGAAATTTAATTGATCACCCAATCTTCTGTGCCTGTAGAGCTAGTAGAGATCATCCTTTCTGTCTGTTTTTTATTTATGGATGGGAAGAATATTAAAAAATCTTTCTTGATCTCCTTCTTAGTTTCTCAGCTGGGGATAATTCTTTTAAGTAAGTTAGTTGAGTAAACAGAAATGAAGAAAATATTGCCACTTTGCTTGCAGAAAAAGCCACTTTTCAAAAACTGGTTTAGCACTTTAGTGAACAGAGATTAATCCATTCAGGAATTTGACTTTCCTTATAGCTTAAAAAAAAATTTGTACTGCTAAACCACTTGTGTTCAACTTAAATTACTTTGAGCAGAATAAAATGTTATACTTCAACATTGCTGATTTAAAATTAAATTTAAAGTTATTTTATTTTACAATGGCAAATATGTTAAAAAGTAATAATTGTTTTTAAATTTTTTTTTTTAGAGACTTGGAGAAGTTACTGGAAGAAGAACTGTTTTTTAGCCTCATAGTTAAATCGAGCACAAAGCCAGGAATTCCTAGAAATCAGGTACTTTTCTTCATGTTCAAGAAAGTTTTAGATGATTGGAGGAGGCTGTCTTTTAGGAGAGCTGAAAAAAATTTCATTCAAATATATCAAGTTCTTTCTAATGGTGCTGCAGAATTCTTTTGACTTGTGATGTGTGTTGAAATGACCAATAGTTTATACTACTAACACAGCCTTGCTTAAATTAAGTGCAAGTGCAGTAACATTAAATAATATTCGTTATTAAAATTAGAATAAATCATATTACTAGTAAAGATCTGGTGCTAAATGAAAAAAAAATCACTGAAATGAACTCTGGATGAGACAATCTCGGTAAGTAATAAGACTCTTTTTTTTTTTTTTTTTAAACCATTCCGACTAAAGCCTTCTAATTCTATTGCCAAGAACAATAGAATTCCAAGTGAAAATTTGTGGTAGTTAGATCACAGACGCAATGGTCTTGCCTATGGTTATAAGAATAATGGCAATAGGTTGCAGTTCAGCATGTTAGCCTTTAGATGGCATTAGCTCCTTGAGCATTTTAGTTTTTATTTTTCTGATATGTTCAAGTGTAGATTGAGGGAGAGAAAAAGAACACAGCAGTCACTTCCGAGCTGACACTTTGTTAAGAGAACACAATCGATGTGCTCCGTGTATGCTGACAAAAAGATTAAAAAATCGATTTTTTTTTGACTGAAAGTATGAAGGCTTCAGCCCAGCTCCAGAGCAAAGTGTTGAGAAATGTCCAATTCTGAGCCTGGTCTGTCTCCAGGCATTGTACTACAACAACTCTAAGGTATAGAAAAGGCAGAAAGGGACTGCCAGGTTGTGCTTCCTGCCCGTTCTGCTTCTGCCAGCTATATGCAGGCACAGAAATAACATTGCTTTATTGGCTTGATGCCGTGAGAGGGTCGAGGGTCTTTGTATGCCAAAGTGATACATTAGTGGCTCCCTGTGCTTTGGTTAGGTCAAGTTCTAGTTCTACTGTTACTGTATGAGGTGACATTACTGAAGTATGTAGTTAGGATTAAGATTATGAAAAGAAGTATAACAAATAGAGTGCACTTTGCTGAAAATACAGTTCTGTTTCTATTTTTTCTGAACCACTGCCAGTAGCATTAAGTTTGAAAGCATATATTTTGCATACACTGTGTGGCATCTTACACGCTGTGTAAATTGTAGTATGAATTCAGCTGATGATGACACATAAGAGCATTTAAACTGTGTGTCCTTCTACTCCAGAATGTTTTTAATGACATACCAAATTAACTGAATGTTGCATTAACTGAAAGGGCAAAGAGTCAAGCAAGGCTGCCATAGTTAGCAATGTGCACTTTCTCCAGACCTGCAGACCTTTTAAACCTGACACATATTTCTGAGAAATACTCTTTTACGACACTTTTCATCTCAGTCTCAAAACACAATACCTCTTCAACAAGTGCTACTAGATCCATTTTGTAGGTGAGAAAACTGAACATCAAAATTTGACATGAACATGATCATCCAGGAGGTGTCCGACATCTGAAAATGGAACCTGGATGTGTTTCTGATCTCTATTCTTGTACCTTTATTGCCAGATTAATTTTGTATTTATTGTACATGCTTCTGTTTGCCGTGAGATAGTCTGAGCTAGTGCCCAGATTGGAATGAAGGCTATGGCAACCATTTTCTCTTTGATAAAGTTCTGTAAAACTGCACAGTGCTTCAGAGTAAACGCATGTATCAACAAAACACAGAAAGCGTTGAATGCTTCAGCGCCCATTTCCTTGACCTAAGTGTCATCTTTTGTGTGCATGAAACTTACACTCCACTTGATAGGATGCTACTCCATGGATTTCTACTGTTGTTTCCAAAGTCAAAGAGGTTTTGTCTGTTTAAGTGAAGCCTGAATTTTGTATTCCAGGTTCAAAGAGAACCTGGAACAACCAAGTAGACATCAGAGGCTATCTTGTGCTGGCTTCTAACTCTATGATGTGCAGCACTGTAGTTGTGTAGGCTTTCACTGCAGCTCCATCTCGATTTGACTTAGTAAGGTTGCTAAAGCAATGTCTTGTTCTCATGCCATATTTCATATTTCATGCCATGTCTCGCTCTTTTTTGTAATTTATTTATTTTGGAGAACTGAACCAGACTTAAGCATCTATTTCCCAGTGAGGTTTTTTTGTGTATGTTTTGACCCAATATTGCAGATGGTTTCACTAAAGAACATAACAATTAAGTGATTAGCCCAAGGTCGTTCAGGCAATGGCTCAACCTTCCTGAAAATGTTGGACTCTTCTGGCTCCTTGTCTTTTAAGCTAGTCTAGCCACTAAATCATATCGGTTCCCAAATTAAATAAAACTTTGATAGCCGAAAGTCACTTTTCATACTATCTAATTGCCTATCTTATGTAGGAAAATGTCTGTAAAAATCCTGCCTGGGATTGCTACCAAAAATATTTTGTTAATAAAGTGAAACAAAGTCTTTTGTATCAAATGGTTTATTTTCTGTTGATACTAATTCATGGGGAGTATGCATATATAAAGCTGAGCATATGCTTTACTGGAACAAAGGAAGAATGTTCAGTACCTATAAGGTGAGGTTCTGTGAGAGATCGGGCTGGCAGAAAAGAGATGCTGTTTAAGAAACACAAGACAGTGTCTACTGTAGCCAGTGTAAAAAGAAAGGAAAAAATTAGTGCAGAAGTGCATCTTTTCTTTTCCACTTTCTTTTTTTTTTTTTTTTTTTAAGGCAAGCATTTCCAGTTACTCAATTTTTCTTTTGTTTTTCAAAGTATATTCCAAGGGTTTCTTCTCTGTACCCTTTTTCCTTTCCCATTCTTTTTTTCCAACCTGGACATTACTACTGTGACCATGACAGTTGAACACAATAAGTGAGGAAAGGTTTGCAAAGAGAAGTAATATTAGACTGATATAGTTTAAAAAAGTGGACATCCTTTGAGACAGAGCTGTGATTTGTAGAACGGTTTGTGTGTCCAAAACCTTATCTGTGTTCCTAACTGTGGCATCTGGTGTAATTAAAAAAAACAAAAATCTTGCCTCTTATACTCTGTTTCCCTGTCTGTCCCTGTTTCTATTTTGCTCTTATTGGAGGAAAAAAAAAAAAGTCAAAATATAGAGAAAGGAAAAGATGAGAAAAACAAAAAATCTTGTTGATCAGTCCGTTCTAGTTGAATAAAAAAGGCATGTTAAAAGGGGTTTTTTTTTACTTATTTATAGGTTTTTTGTTTGCTTTTGGGAAAGGAAGAAGACTTTTAATAGCAAAAAAATTGCTTACAAACAGATCGGCAATAGCTACAGTTTAAATTAATTGTTCATACAAGTTAATGATGTCAGATGAAATTTGTTAACTGAAGATATAAACCTTATAATAAACTTGAACTTGCATCTCTGAATTTTTTAAAAATCCAATTTTTAGTTTGCATGACAACTTCTTCATACACAAAGCATTTGTATCCTTCAGTTACATGGCTTAATATATATTACTTTCTGATATAAAGGTGTTTTATGCACATTTAATCCCAATTTCATATACCTGTTAGCATTCTTTTAACACAAAACACCTTATATAAAGGCCTCTCTAAATATAAATCCTTCCTAATTTGTTAATAAGATAAACTTTATGACATATGTGCCTAGCTAAAGTGTAACCTGAACCAAATTCTAAAAGTTAAAAATATTCCTGAAATGGAGGAAAACAGTATTTGAATATTAAGGTCTTGCACATCTACAGAAGTGGATTGACATAACTATAGCATAAAAAACTCTTCCACGATAACAGCTCTTACTTGGACCTTCTCTTCCAGAACAACAACAACAAAAAAAACAGTTTTATTCCAGAATAGTTAATCTTTTTATGAAGTGGAATTACTCTTCAATGATTGGATTACCTGCATGCTGAAATAGAATACTCACCTGTGGTGAGCTGATTCATCCAAAAGCCATTTCCTAACAAATATTTTGGTTAATTTTTCTGAGGTAGCCAAGGCCTGATGCCAATGTCTTGAGGTTTTCAGACAAGGGGAAATTAAATAAGTTTTGACGACTGTAACAAGTGCTTAGTTCCTTATATCTCTCCTAACTCAAGAGATATAGTATGAAATTTAGGAAAGTAGTGTATTTAGGGGATCTTTCATTAAAACAGATATTTATGTTTTAGGGGGAGATTGTTTGATTTCTTGTTTTATAAATGACACTCACATTCAGTTCTCTTTAACGTTGTCATATTTATTCTGCCAATAAACTCAACTGATGAGTTTGGCTGTCATCATCCGCCTTTGCTCTGAGCTTAGGCTGCTCGAATTCTTAACGTTTTGAAAGGGGTTTCCATCAGTTATTATGGAAGCAGAACTCTTCCTGCTGTGATAGCAGACCATCGTCTCATCCAGATATTAGTCCAGTGATCAGACGGCAGAGTGGTGACTGAGTGAGACAGATAGCATCTTCTCCTACTAGATTAATCATTTAATTGTCTGTCAAATTACTCAACTTTCCACCATCAGCTCTGGAACTAAGACTGCCTCTACTCTTGCCAAAGAGCATTCCCCTATCTTTGGCTATATTTTAAGCTTTTCAAACTTGTGCAGGCTATCTCTGCCTATTATTTTTCTGACATCATACATTTTGCTGTCAGTAATCCAGCAACACACAAATAATTTGTTTTTTATGTCTGTAATTTATGCTTCAGAGCTGAGTAAATTGCTGCACTTCAAACCCAATCCAAGGGTTCTTCTAATGAAGTCATTGGAAACATTCCAGTTGACTTCACTGGGCTTTAGATCAGGCCCATAAGTAGTACTTGCGTGCCACTGAATCAGAACATAAAAAGACAAACAAAGCAGAATGTTTTTTACCATTCTTAGCCAGTCACAGTGATGAGAAATGCCAAACAAAATGTAGAATAAAGTTCGAATTCTAACTATATCAACTGATGTTCCTAAATAATGATTCCTTTGAACGCATAGTTTGACAATAAAAGTCACACAAGCTTGTGTGACTTGTATCATTGCATTTATGGATTTGAA